TTAAGTATATATTTTAAGACAAAAGGACTTAAATTAATTGTTTCATTTAAACCTCTTTAATTATATGATCACCAAGGTCTAACTGCTTAAAACCCACTAGTTATGACTTTTACAAAAAAATCACAAAATATGCTTTATTATGAGTTACTCTTGATTTCTTATTTATAAGTTAATATCATTTAAATTTTATTATTCCAACTACTCCTCTAAATCATAATTCTTATAAATTCACTTTGTAATCGACTAGGCGGTTTGGCAGATTATTTAAATAGCTTTAATAGCTCTTCTCTTTCGACATCTTCTGTACTGAAGCAAAAGGAAGGGAGATAATAGTAGAGATAGAGGAAAATGGGCAACTGTTTGAGATTAAATTACAAAATGAAAAAAATTTGATATATTGGCAAAGAGCATTAAAAAAATTAAGTATCAGCTACCAATAGGTAATACCATGCCATGTCAGGTTCAATGGATACTTGTCAAAGGAAATGGCTAATAATATTTGCAAGTTTCTGCAGCCTATTAGGTAAATATACATGGATAATTAAGTGCACTTAAATAATTCGAAAAATGGTGATTTTGGTAGTAACCATAATACCTAAAAATATTCAGTTGTAATAATAATAATCATTGTTCTCTTATTCAAAGGCCCTTACTCCAAATGAATTGATATTTAAATTACAATCATTTAAAAACCCTTTCATAAGAGAGTTTTCCAATAATGATCATCACAAATTAGAAAAGAACAAAAGACTTTGTTTCGTTTAAGAGATTTAACATACTCTGGGTGAGGAAAGCCATCTATGAATAATTGATAGTAAAATAGGAAAAAAGGCAGCCCTTACACAAGATTAGAAAACTCGGGATTTTTATCTAAATAAAAGATTATATAAAAAGTCTAATCAGCTCGCCAATTAAATCTAAAAATAATCAAAAACTCTGATCAAATTAATTTAATTTGATCATCATCCATGGCATCTTCGATTCAAAAAATCCAAGTTCAGTTATTGTTTATTATGAAATCCTAAATTGTCTAAGTTATAATCTACTAGTCTGAATGTCTTCATACCAAACCAACTTTATTAAGTCTATATAAAAAGTAAGTCAACCAAATTATTGCAGTTATTATGTAATCAAAGCTAGAAAGAATAATTCTTTCTTCAAATCTGTAATTTCTAAATAAATTAATATAAAGTTCATAATTTCTCTCCACCTTACATTCTTACTCCTACCAGGTTGTTATTTTTGATGATATATCTTTATTCTACATCTGATTTTCTCATTCAACGCTCTTTTTCTAAAGTAAATCTTCAGTTTTGCAGCCATCTAATATTTTTCTTGGAAAATAAAGATATGTTTGCTTCAATTACGTGCTTCCTTATCAAGTTCACCAAGGAATAATGTCTCATTCTTTTTAGTTCTATTGTAGGATTCTGTCCATTAGATAGAAGCTGTTGTACTTTTATTTATTCCTATATATATATAAACCTAAAAGATTTCATCAACAAAAGTCCTTAGTCATTTAAGATTCTTCTTTGGCAAATAATTTTTCTCTATCTTAAAATAAATTTCGTGATACAACATATTTCATACTAGTGAGAATTTGCGAACCCTCAATAGGTAAACCAATATTTGATTATAGGATTGTACAATAAACCCATAAACAATTACTTTCGAAGATACTGAATTTAGGATTCTAGTTCTTTGGAGGATTTATAGGATAATTGAATACATATAAACAATTTAGCCCACAAAACTTACACTAATTCTGTTAGCCTATAAGATTATAATTTACTTTAGGATTACAAGGATACACTACTACAAAATTTATGTCCTAATCTACTTAAATAATAATTGTTTCATGAAATTATTATATCTCATTTTATATTTCTTATCTGATTTCTCCTTTTCTTTCGTCTAAATGGTAGCATCTTCACTTGAAGGACTCATACTAAGCCCCTTTTTATTCATCACTGACTTATGGGTTCACTGCATATTTCAGAAATAATATAGCTTGATTTTTCTGAAGTTGAAACATTGTTGCTGCTTCCAACTATTCTCGTTCAATGACTCTGGCTAACATCCATGCTTGTGATTATATCCCGAATTCTGCAATTAGATTCACAAATGCGTACTCTTAGTACAGGTCGCAAGGAGAAAGTGTTGGTGTAAACATTCTTGCCAGTCTTTGAAGTTTTTATGGCATAAAAATGTATTAGACTGATTGCTTATACATCCTATTGAAAAGCTCACCTAGATTTTACTTCGCTATAATCTTGCTGAATGCGTAGTTATATATATTAAATAAATTTAATACCTCATAATACATATCTATTAGGGCCTCTCTCTAAATCTTTCTCTTCTAATTATGATTAATTTATGACCTTTTTTTGAATGAATTTCTAGTTAACTAGATCAAGGGATATTCTAAAAATTTAAATCTGATAGGTACTAAGCAGGATTGTGAAGATCTTATTAATTCTGAAAAGACACCGAAATTTCTAACATGTTATAAATTTTGCAGCACAATTAATCCCACAAGTCCTAATAATTTCTAATCGGATGAGATCATCAAGAGCTTATGTTTGTTAAGATTTTATTTAATTTTACCTTGATCTCTTGACTAATGTAATTGTTTGGTATTTATTGCTTACAAGCAGGGCTCAAATTGGACATCTAAATGTTTTAGTAATCTAAAATTTAGAATTAAATTTGGTTTAATCTGAGGTACACCTGGTGTTCTGTTTGATTTTTTTTACTGATGTAAAATCATTTCTTTTTAAGAAGTACCTAATTAGCACTCAAATATTTCAAGGGCTCTTAGAGAAAGTTAAAGAGTTAATTTTTTTCTGAAAAACCTTTAAAATAAGTTTTATTTATCAAACTGCTTTGAGTCAAGTGATTCCATTTCATCCTCTATATTTTGATACTATTCCTAAAGAATTAGGAATAAATAATGAGTTCAATATTAAGTCATAAGTTGAAATAGTGATGAATAGTTATCTTCATTTGGACAGACATAGTTCTCGTACTTCACTACTTACTTGACTTAGTTTTTGGAGTAGCAAGACTTTTCTATAGTTTTGTCAATAGAGCGTGTTTTTTATTCCTCTTATTTTAGTTGCATATTGTTGGATCATGTATTAAGAGTACTACAATTGTAATCCTATTGCATCAGATTCTATTGAAGAGTAACTTTTAATAATAAATGTGACTAATTTATGTAGCTATTCGAATTACAAGATCTACTTACATATGAATTGAAGAAGAAATCCTTACAAGAGGGAGTTATAAAATGAGTATAGGATAACTCTGAATAATAAAATGGATTGATTAAACAAATAATTATCATCTCCATACTTTAGGCACAAGAGTGATGACTATTTCTTATTAATTATTACAAAACACTGAATTAAACAAGAAAAAGTAACAAGCTGAACAATTCATGTTATGGAAAATAAGAGAAAAGATTAAATTTAATAATATCTTCTTTTTGTTATTCAGATTATACATGTTGGAAAAAGACATATGAGTTATTGATTTAGCGTAAATTTGGGAGAAATCTAGTAGAGTACTAAAATATGATTCTGGATTTGATAAAGCTATAAATAAGAAATTAAATGTAAGTATTTTTCTAGATTACGAAATATTAGTAATTTATAATCTTTTTTAATCTTCCATCTTCAAATAAAGATAATGAAAGTAGTATTAAAATTAAGCAAGTTGTTTTGAGGACATAGTTGGAATTGTGAAGTAAATAATAGTGAGATGGGTATAGAAACCAAAGATTAAAAAATTCAGATACAATATTAAACTGAAATAAGGGAAGAGTTAAGAAAAAGAATTAGCCTAATAACATCGGCGTTGAGTTAAAAATTAAAATGCCAAAAGTTATTGATGGATACTATATGATATCAATTAAAAGTAACTTAAATGAAAAAGACGATTATCAGAATATAAGCAAAAAGAGCAAAGACATAACTTTCTTAATGGCAATACCGCTAGATAAGACACATCTGAGATTAGCAGAATTGGGTCCTTCAAATCAATAATGATGTAAGAACATCTAATCGAATTTCCAAAATGGCTCGTTACAGATCAATTAAAGATAGAAGAATGGGCGGAGACTGACTATGGAGAAGTAGGGCTAAAATATTAAATTTGTATTTAAGAGCCAATTGGAAAGTTAATCAAAAGATTATAGTTAATGTAATTTGACCTGACCTGATAAATCTATTGTTTTTTGTGATGGCTAATGTTTATATTTTGTAAATAGTAGAATGCTATATGAAATTATGATAAGAAGGTAATGTATTGGAGAGGATGAATTAAGATGGTTGTTGAATAGTTATGATAATTTCAAGATTTTTGATCCAGCTGATTAGGAAATAGTATAGTTTAAGAAAGGTCTTCAAAAAAGGTCGGTTCTATTACTCGACATTTATTTTGATGAATTGGATAGAATTATGAAGTAGCCATGTATTTATAACAAAAGTAAGCTGAATTTGATAACAAAAGTAAGTTGAATTTGATAGAAAGGTTTAAAAGATATCAGGATATGAATAAATAGCTCTAGATGCTTATTACCGATTTGACAGAAAATATGTCAATATAAATAAAGTATCTAAAGGAAGAGATGAGAATAATTATTGAGATGATTGGTTAAAATTTCAGCAAAAAGTAATGCTACATTATTTAATTTATTACGCCGACGAGAAAAAATTATAAAACAATTATTCCTTTCGCATCGTTCCTAACTGTTACTATATGATTTCACTTAAGTCTAGAATAAGAAAAGTTGGAGGAAAAGTCTACAGCAGTTCCATAAATTCCGACATTGTCGAAATTGAGTAAATAATCAGGATAGTAAGGTTAGAGCATTAGTCAAACCCAAATGGATCAGGTGCAATCAAAGTTATTGTGTATTTCAGTCTTTATTTAATAAATTAAAAGCATTTGAATATTAGTTATTGAAATGTGAAAGAACCATATCAAGGGATATTAACCAAGAAAAATTACATGCCTCTTCAGCTAAGCTACTTAATACTACAAAAAGTATTCAAACAATTAAATTCCTATTGAACTAAAACTTTTAACAAATAAATTTGTGATATAAATCATTTTTTCTATCAGAATTGAAATTGTAATTAGGATAACTTTTTAATAAATCTACACTATAATGAATTAAATAATGATCTCATCCATCTTTCTCTGACCTTACTAAAAGTATCATTTTTGAACCTTGCTAAGTACAATAATTATTCTATATTTAAATAGAATAAAATTATATTGAATAAGCTTATTTGCAATTTTAATTTCATGTTTGAAGTACAAAAATGTTCTGAAAATATGAGTTCAAAAAATCTATGATATGAGAGATTTTTTTAGATTCTACTCATTAGTTATTGAAGATATTATATACATTGCTTATAAACAAAGTGCTTTTATCTCTTGTAAGATTATTTCTGCATTGCTAAAATCCTCATAATTAAATTCAGCTTATAGCTCTTACACAAAAGTTACAAAAATGAGCAACTTATTTATCAAATAGCTACTAAATTATAGTTTAAAATCAAAACAAGAGTGTAGGAATTAATTTTAATTTGTAAAGAAAAATACTAAATATTTGGATTCAATACCATGTATTTTATTTTTGAAAGCATAAAGTTTTATTTTGCGGAGGAATAACTAACCAAACCAAACTATTAAGTGAGTATTTTATAAACCCTTTCAAGAAGAAGGTTGAAAATAATATCAAACTTAGAAGATGTAAAAAGAATTCTTAATCTACTCCACTAGAAAAGTATACTCTTCTTTTGAACCAAATATTAGAGCCATATTGTTTTCCCCCGTATCTTGTTCTCTATTCAGAAGGAGAATATATTTTAACTTTTCAATATCCTTAAGACTTCTAAAAGGTTACAGTAAATTGAGACATTGTCTTGATTTTGCCCGGAAATTCATTGTTCCTTCTCACTATTCTTTAATTATTGAATATGATCATGGATCCTACTCATATAAATATATGATAGGCTTCTACTCATCTCCTAAAATCTAAAGCCTTTTGATATTCAGGTGTTTTTAGTTATATAATTAAATTACCAGATTGTCCAGTAGTTTTTAATCAGATAAATATCAAGAAATTTGTATTACAGCAACTGATGATACCCTTAACTTTCAAAAAGATTAATATGGCCTTCATTCGATCACCCAACACCTTTTTAATACCATCTTTGGAGATGAATTATTGTTAATTAAAATATAACTCTCTCATTCTCTCCTTGAAGATAGTCTTAGATCTATATATATATATGATGATGTGAATAANAAAATTGTAGAATAACTAATGAGATTGATGAGTCCATTACAGAGGATATTGAAAAATTTAATTCCATGATGGTGCTTAATTTTAATTAAATTAGAAGTGATGAAATAGGATAAACAAAAATTTTAATTTGAATAAATAAATTATTAATGATGTAATTATATATTTATAGAGGTTTCCCTTCATATGGGTCACAATTATAATTGATACATCAAACAATCAAAATTCAGAATCCTGAGTTGACATGTTATTAAAATTTTTGTCTACTACTTATATTGAGATTTAATATCAATTTATAGCCCAGTAGTCAAGGATATTTATGTTTAATCAGCACCAAATAAATCGAAAGAAATTTTATAAGTAGTTTACAGGTAGAAGCTACTCAGAGTAATCAAGTAGGATGTCCGACCTATAGAACATATCAAATATATTTCTTAATGTTAAATTAAGAGGGATTACTTTTCAGTCAGTCATATAACAAATCAATAGTAAATCTTATTATTAGAATATTAATTAATCTATGATCTCAAGGGTATTTCTTGAATCACCAGCTCACTCTATTATTCAAAATATTTATCTTTGTATTACTTTTTCTAATTTGTATCAAAAGAATAAATATTTTTAAGGATGATGTATTAAAAAGATCCTAGTTTAACTTTAAGTAAACTGTTTTAAGTTTTTTCATTTAGTAATTTCATTTTTAATTAAGCAACTGAAGTAGTGGACTAATTTCCTAAGTCAATCTATAATGAATTCAAATATCATTAAATAAAATTGAATTAATAATTATGATCATCAAATTCACTATTTTTTGAATACTAGTTTGAATTAAAATAATATTATAGAAAATAACATTAGAAGAGGATCTAAAGTATGACAATCTAATCATTTATAATGCCCAAATCAATTAAGCAATCCGTATATAAGAAAGATATTAAATTTGAAAAAACTAAATCAAAATAAAACTTGATAAATTAATATTATTGATTCTGAATTACAAAAAATTGTAACCTATTAGGGTTTTTCATTTTCTTATACCGATCTCTATTATTTAGATTAATCATTGTGGAATCACCTATTTAGAAGCTTTCATATTTTTCCTGCTAGCCACTCTCGTTAAATTTATTCGTTATATTTTAAACCAAAAAATATTATAAGTACTTATAACTGAAACACTAATTTACTCTCTCCGTTTTATCAAATATTGGATGATTCTATATTTTCAAATAAACGGATGAATATCATAGAATAATGTAAGGAAATGAGATCAATACTATAAAGCAAATGAAGTCAAGACTATTAACTTAAAAACTCACCTCTTATTGGTATTAATAGAGTTATAGTTATTACTTCAAGGCGAAAGTTTATGTAAATACAATCTTAATATAAAGAAGTTAACAACTGAGAGATATATTTAAAGAAATAAATTATAATGAATTTCAAATACTTGCATTAAAGGATCAATTTTGATCCAAATCAAATTTAACTAATTGCCAATTTAGAATGGAATAAGATAATTATTCAATTAAGAAGGAAATTTTTCCACAATTTTTTTATGATATCACTAAAGAAAACGGTAATATATATTTAAGTTCTTGTTTAAAATTTACTGTATATAAGTAATATCTTTGAATTTATTATTGATTATGATCTTATTTGCGAAACTTTGACTATTTAGTTATTATTATTTACAAGCCAAGATCTCATATCTAATCGACGAGAAAGTTTTCAAGGATTATTCAAAATTGCTTCATCAGTAAGAATATTTAAAAATATCTCTCAAACGTGGAGGAAAAAAGGTTGAGAAAAAATTAAAAATAGCTTTCATAAATTATTTTACTTGACTTCACAATTAACACTCTTTAAATAACATAATATAATAAGAAATTGTGGGAATAACTTTTGGTGGAATTCAAAATCCTATTCAGGAGTGAAATTTGTTTCTGTGATCAAAAACAAATTGAATAAAATATAAATGATTGTTGAGAATAATCAATTTTACTTCTAATTAATAGAGTTCTCTAAAATCAAACTGCCTTTGGATTTAAATATTGATGTAAAATCATACCCTTTATAATCTATAAATTCTCCTTTCAAGATTAGAGCTCCTTAGGCTTCTAAAATGGGGTTTTAGGATATTCGTAGGATAGTAATATTAGAGGTAGGTAGACTAGCTGGAAATATATTTTAGTAATTAGGTGATTTAAATTATGCCAGAATATCTTAGTACCGATTGTCCGAAGATAAAATTTCCTATCCTGTCTTAACATCCCATACACTGATAGAGTTTTCACCCCTACCATATGCTAATGTTGTACCATCAGGGGAGAAATAGACTGATTGAACTAAATATTAATTACCGTCTAGTAGTAGTTGAGCTCTTTATCCTATCTAAACATCCCATAAACGGATAGAGTTATCTATACTACTAGATGCTAGTGTAGAACCATCAGGAGAGAAGCAAACTGTATTAATACAACTCGTATGACCATCTAATTTGGCTTTTTATTATCCTGTTTTAATATCCCATAACCGAATAGAATAGTCTTCACTACCAGATGCTAATGTAGCACCATCATGAGAGAAACACACTGATTGAACTGAATATAAATGACCATCTAATTGGGCTCTTTGGTATCCTGTCTTTATATCCCACAAACGGATAGAGTTATCATAACTACCAGATGCTAGTATAGTACCATCAGGGGAGAAACAGACTGAATAAACATAACCCGTATGCCCATCTAATTTGGCTTTTTACAATCCTATCTTTACATCCCATAATCGGACAGACCTATCGGAACTACCAGATGCTAATGTAGTACCATCAGGAGAAAAACAGACTGATTGAACTGATTATTTATGACCATCTAATTTTGCTTTTTATTACCCTGTTTTAATATTCCATAAACAAATAGAAAGATCTGCACTACCAGATACTAATATAGTTCCATCAGGAGAGAAACAGACTGAATTAACACCCCTATAATGACCAATCAATTTTGCATTTTATTATCCTGTCTTAACATCCCATAAACAGACAGAATAGTCTTAACTACCAGACGCTAGTATATTGCCATCAGGAGAGAAACAGACTGAAAGGACTGAACATTAATGACCATGTAATTTGGCTTTTTATTATCCTGTCTTAACATCCCATAAACTGATTGACATATCTGAACTGCCAGATGCTAAAGTAGTACCATCTGGAGAGAAACAAAATGACCTAACAGTGGTACTATGATCATCTATTTTATTTATCTCATGTATTTTTAGATTTTTCCATTTGCAATTGAACAATTAAGTTTAATTCAAATTCATTCCACTAATATCAACATTATCAAAATTGGATCCATTGAAATTGCATCTTACAAAATTTCCACCAATTAAAGAAGTATCTCTAATCCTGATATTCTCAAAGCTTTGTCCCCTCATATCAACCTTCATTTCTACTAATAAATAGAGTGAATTGGACCCACATTAGATAAATCTTTCATCAATAGCTGTCAGTTGAACTAGGAATTTCAGAAATTAAATGATATACTTATTCTCTTAAGATATCTTGTTTATCAAATCCTTTCTAAAGCATTCACTCATTTCTAAGGAGTAATTCTTTTTATTAAAGTCTATTTCACCTATATTTTTAATAACATCTGTGATAAACTTGAAATTATTTTTTTCTGTATTTCTTATATTTGAAAGGTATTTGAGGCAATCTGTTATTTTATTGGTCTTGAACATTCCCAAGATCTCATTGAGGCATGATTCATCAATATTACTTGTCTAAGTCAATACCTAATATAAATCTTCCTTTCTCTCATAAACTTATAACATTTTTTAAATTGGTTGAATGCTTGACTTTATTTCATTTTTCAACTTCTTACAAAGGAACTTAACTTCTTCTTCCAACAACTACTCTATTTTTTGTAATTTTGCCAAATAAGAATTTTTCTCACTTATCCAATCATTTACTTTGCCCACCTGTAAAAGATAGACTATTTGTTCTAAATCAGAATAGGAGGATTCAGCTATATTGGTATATTAGTTGAAAAGATTAGAATAAGATCTATATTTTTTTTCAATCAAATCATATATGTATTTGATTGAGTCTGATAATTCTTCCCAAATTTTCTTTATCATGCTTTCGGTTTGAGAGAGCATCAATTTAAAATTATTTCTCTATTATGATATTTCAGAAATCTCATCAAGCTTGTATTATTTCATTTTCATAATAACAATTTATTGAAATATATTAATAGGAACCGCATGTTTGACATTCTCGCCATGTTCATATTGACATTCAGCACACAATTTTCTTTGGTATTAACAGGCATGAGGTGCTATACAGATAAATTATATTGGATTTAGATGGTGATAAATGCAATTCATTTTCTTTTCTTTTTAATAATATTGAATTTCTATTACGAATAATGAGTTTAATATTATCAACAAAAATTGTATCTTATATATATTTATTACTATAAAGTTGACTTTTAAAGATTTGGGGTTGATGTAAAGTATTATAGTGTAAACTCACAAACTTTTGTCAATATATTTTCCATTATATATTTACTATAAATGCTAAGGTATTAATATATTATTTATAATATAATTTTTGTTTAGAGAATAATGTTATCCAAACTATTTACTATTTATAAACATATAAAACAGTTGCTACTTAGATGCAATGGGATTATTAAGGTATGAATAAAAAAGGAAAAATTTAATTTCTAATAAGAGCCTATATCAGAAAATGAGGAAATGTATAGTGATAAGTGTTGATCAGATCAACATGCATCAGCCTAGTTTTACCCGAAGTCAGTTAAAACTCAAACATAATGGATCAATGAATAAAATTACATAAAAACTTCAATTTAACCTCATGATTTATGCTTGCAAAGATATGAATCTTTTGTTAAAGGGCTTTAATTGAGAGTGTTCTCATCCACAATCTAATCATATCCTAAATTTAAAAGAAGTTAAGTATACTAGTAGTTATATATGGATAGATTTTTGATTACTCTGACATATGATAGGAAACTCGAAGCCTACTCAAACCTACGAGAAACAATAAAGAGAAATAAGTAATTAGTAATATCAAATTAAAACTATAAAAAATCATTCTAAAACTTTTATTACAAATACCGAAATTGTTAACAATTTTGTAAAGGGAAAAAAATTCTTATAAATTGCACCTAAATTTTAATGAATTATCTG